GAGAGACTAGATTGACTAGATGACTAGATGACTAGAGTGACTAGAATCTAGAACCCCAGTCCTAGTCCTATATTGCTGGTCTACTTGATTACTAGATGACTAGATTAGATAAATTTTTAGACTCTGACTAGACCACTTCTGTCACTAGAACGCAATAGCAAGCATTTGGCAGGAACAGGATTTCGACGAGACAGAGGAGACGGCTTGCTTGACCTGCTGTACAGCGATGCAGACAGGCATGGGCCGGCCATGGAAGGAAGGCATGGATCTGTACGAAAGCAGGACAAACCCTGGGTTCAACAAGGAGTTTGACAAAACTGTGGAGACAGTGTCCAAGGTCGAGAGTGGGGAGGCGGAGCCTGGCAACTTCTTCCCGGGGAGTTCCGTGGAGACCGTGATGGAGGTGGGTGACCTGTCTTACGTGGACGTCCTCTTCCTCAGTGAGGCCCAGATCCAGAAACACTGCAAGGCATCCAGCAAGGCGCTGGATCTGCAGCTGGAGGAGCGTCAAGCCGAGGATGGGTCCGGACCCATCTGGGGTGTGCCCCGTGGCCTTGAAAGTGAGTTTGTTCGATGATGCGAATTTGCTGTGTCTGCGTGTGTCATTCCAAGCTGCCTGGCCTAGCTGCTGTGGTTTTCCTGGAGACCCAGAATCAGGATCGTGTTAAATGTCAGAGTTCCAGCCATAACGCCGATGAGATGTAGATTCATGCTATGAAAATGAGTTGCGGTTTTTGCGGCCTGCTCTGTCCCAGTCGCTGTCAGATCCCATGGATGTCAATGATACACTTGCACCATTCATGATGCGATCACTGCTCGAGGTACTTCTCCTGCGAGGATGTACCGGAGGATGTCAGTTTCGCGGAGTTTTGGGGCTTCCGCAAAGTTCGCTTGTTCAACAAGACCAGCACGGTGCACCAGAAGATTCACTTGACACCGGACAAGCAGCTGCGGCAGCTGCAGGGGAAGGACCTGCAAGCCTATGTGGACTCAAAGCGAAAGCGGCATCCAGGAGCTACGGTAGGGAAGCAGCTGCCGACGATCAGCAGCAAGAGAGCCCGAGCGGAACTTCTTGATTCCCGCAAGCAAGCAAAGAGTGCTGCTATGGCGGAGCAGATGATGCAAGCCGGGCACAACGCGAAGACAGAGCCCGACGAGCCGCTAGAAGTGGTGGACATGGAGAAGGTCCAGCGCCTCAAGCAGTTCAGTGTGGGCGCTGTCGAGGTGGAGGATGAGCAGCCATCTATGTCCAGGAAGAAGCGGCGCCAGGCACGGAATGGGCCAGCGTCAGCATCCCAGACCATGACCAAGCGGGAGAAAGCGGACAACAGCATGCAGCTACTCCCCGTGGATGAGATCACTGCGCAGATGAAGCACGACGCTGCATTGCTGAAGGTGTCGCTGCAGCTTGGATGGGTCCCCGACTGCTTCTATGGTTTGGACCCAGACAAAGCCCTCAACGGGGGGGCGAAGCTGGGCAACCAGACTTTCCAGGCTCCTCTGCGGCAGACATTCCATGGATTCATGCGCCGATGCAATTCGGGCTG